CGTTTCGAATATACGTGATTACCATCACGAAATCAAGGACAATTTTGTAAACCCCTAAAAACAAAAATGGAAGGAAAACCGACAGAATCTATCATGATCATCGAGACAAAGGTGCGCGAGTACAAAGACGCGCGAATATATTGTGGGAGAACAACAAAACCGAAGACGCTGCCGACACATCCGTATATCACGGAAAGACCTTTTTCATTTAAAATCCCCTACTTCAATATTTGATCACAAGAAGTACTAGACCAACGTTATATTTATTGCTTACTTACACAGAAATTTTTAGTCTCACCTTTAGTGATCTTAAATTATCTACTGAGTATACTGATTTAAAAACATCAGTACGACTATTTATTGGTGGTGGTACGGTTTTTTCCCTTACCATCAGTAGCCGTGAAAAGTAGATTCACCCAGTCAGTGTATACGACGTACTATAGTGCGCAGAGCAGTACTTATTATATATTTTTAAATGCATACATACATGCGCGCGTGCGCACACACACACACACACGCGCGCGCGCGAGCGCATAAGTGTGTGTGTATAGTAAGCCTCTTAAAATCGGACACTGATATATATATATATATACTTGGAGAGTAAATATACAGTATACCTAACAGTACAATAACATAACCTAATACTAACGTATTTGAGTGTAGGTTTTAAGTAGACCTGGTACGGGAAAAATCCTTACCAAGCTATGACAAACACATAACTTCATGTGGTAGAGGATTTTTAGTGAGACAATAGAAAGAAAATACCGTACCTAGCATTAATATAATCTTATTTGCCAGTAGAAGAAGACTTCACATGTCCAACATTTTCAAGCGTAGGTTTTAGACGGACCTGGTACGGGAAAAAACCTTACCAAGCTATTAAAAACTCGTAACTGAATGTAGTAGGGGATTTTCAATGAAAAAGGTCTTTCCGTATAGCTTATACACAATGTACGTGCGTAAGAAAAGAGCCTACGTGACGATCGGTAGGATTTGAAAGGTCGCGCGTGGCAGAGTCATTTTTTACACATAGATACCTACTTGATCTATTACTGATCAACGAGGTTTTTGAACTTTTAAGTCAGTCGTGACCCTTTTCCATTGTTAGTTGCTTCCTTTTTCAAATTTGCCCGTATCCATAAAAAAAAACTGATGATGCATCGTCGTTTTTAAGTCATACGATGGTTAGTTTTGTTATAACAATGCGAAAGATAGTGGCTATCAGCGAGAAACGTTTTTTTTTCTTTCCTCCTTTTTTCAACGTGTACTGCTCAGTGCAGTTATCGCACGCTTATTTAAAGGTTTCCGATAACGCGTTTGTATAACAATTGAAGGTCATTGATTGATTAATGCCTCGAAAAAAAGTAAACTGATACAGCGTGCGTTTTGATTAATTTCTACTTGTTAACTTGCCTCTTGATACTCGTGTGATTAACAGAATCAATAAACTATGGATTTTTTTCTCAAACACATTAGATAACACAAAGTATCCACGTTTTGATGTAAAATTTCCACGCGATAAAGTAATCGATGAACCAAATGAAAACGAGACGCGTAATGTTTCATGTAAAATTTGATAAAATAGTATTACCAAAAGGGACTTCTATTTTCATCCATGTGGAAAAAAATGGCAACGCGGCTTGATCAAAAGTATTACCAACCGAACACTTCTGTACTACCTTGAACCTATAAAAAACCAAGAAGACCTTCTGGAAACCATCGAGCACGTGCGCACGTATGTAAAGCTCGTCATGCCACCCGCGCAAAACTTCCTGTGTGTACGTGTGCTGCTTCTGTGGCCTCAGAGGCGTCGTCGCTTCAATTGAAGCATCATCATTGGAGCGTGTACACAAAGAGCAGAATAAAAAAAAAAAAAAAACGCGTTGGTCTCTGTGCATGTGGACGAAAGAGAAAGTGTGGAGGGGAAAAAAAGATGATATGGTGAGTAATGGCAAACAACGTCCCTTTCATTCGCGACGAGAGAGAGGCTATTTTCAGGCATCGGCTGATTCGATTAATTACGAGAGCTCGGCTGATCTTTCGCTTCGAGCTCGAACCACATTATCCACTTGGATCGATCAGTGTACGTATACACGCTGCGCTGGGAAGTACGAGGTTCTCGCAATTATGCACTTTCTTGGGATGTGAAACTGTTCTCATTCACTTTTCGAAGCAAGGTATACGTGTGGAGCGAGGGAAATTTCTTTGATACGCGATTTTTCTTTCTCTTATGCAAATTGGCTTTTTAAAGCCAATACAACGAAAAATCAGAGGTGGAAGACCAAAGGAGCCGAAAATAGAGACAGTTTGATTTATTTATGAAAAGGGCTTCTCGTAAGTCTACAGATGCTTGTTTTGTACGTTCTTCATGAGAATACGGCAAAAATTAATGAAAACGATTCATCGGAAATAATAACGTATTCGTTTACGAGTACTCAAGTGTAGTACTTCTTGAAATTTGATATTGAAGTTTCATTAAGAAAAATAGACACCCAAATATGTGGTCGTGAGGAAAAAAGAGTGACAAATGACTTGATTAGCTTATGAGTACCAAACTTATACAAGTCCATCATATAATTGAATCACTTTATCTGCAAAACACTTTATTTTGTTCTGATGAAAAAGGGTTACTTACATGATTAACATGATCTACTATACGCTACGTGTATCTACGGTGCTGTCCTCGTGGCAATTGTTTTCTTATATGTTAAGTTGAATCTTATACAGCAAAAAAGTTGCCACCGTTCAACAAAGTTTTTTACGTTCGCGTGTTTAAGAATACGTATATTACTACAAGCAGTGTAATAGTAAAAGGCTCATATATCGTATACACATATAAAGTTAATCATAACAGAGTTCTGTACTTTCGGGTCAATGAATTGTTCACTTCATAATACAAATTTGGCACAATGTATTATATACCAACTGTGAAGATTAAAGTATCAATTTAATGGTTAAAGTTTTTGTTAGATTTATCAACATATTGCGCTATGTTTTGATCCTCAACTGTAGATTGACTTATAGCCACAGGCGAGCAATAAAAACATAGGTATACTTCACGAACAAGGAAAAATTATTTGTTTGGAGTTTTAAACAGTCTTGATGACTATAATCTTTTCACCCCCTTGCAACATCCAAAGCAACTTATTTCAAACGTTTCAATTGTTTCTTAAGCCACTGAACTATATAAACGATTCCTACAGTGGCTGTCGAGTGCTACTTTCACCCCAAAACCGCAGAACCACGAGCGTTGTCTCTTACATTTTTTTGTTCGTGTCTCAACGTAAAAGGGCACACCGAGTGCCTTCGACCTGTCTGCGCAACATCACCACTACACATACACATATGACACGTGTATCTATACACACGTAGGAAACCGTAAGTATCGAGCAAAAAAACGAAAGTAATAGTGTGCAACGCACTTGAAGCTCGTTACGTCGGCCGTGCAGATGCTTCTCTGGAGGAAAATAAAGGGGAAAAAAAAGAAACGGTACTCAATTACCAATAGTTTATAAAGTTTCAGTTTGGACCTGTGGTATATGGGCACAAAAATTTACTGGAGTTTTCTTGTTCTATCTTTATTTTTTACTTTTTTTTTTTTCTTAATACAATGAAGGAAGCTGATCTTACGTGAGCATCACTGAAAGATGCCTTGCTTCTATTTATTTATGAGAGTTTCACTTTATCGGGCCAGACGTTAATAATACATCAAAATTAAAAATAAAATTCGTTTATTTTTCTAAAAATAAATTCACGAATATCAGTTCACTAATAGCCGTATAAAATGATATTAGAATTATTTTCAAGCTTTACAAAAATCAAGATTATTACGAGAAAAAAAAGCTGCAAAAAAGTAACAGAATACTGAAATATATCACCGTAGTATAGTAGTATCTTCATGGAAATCATATACCTTGATTATTTTAGTTTGAAGAATGCAAATTTGAGGTGAATGTCCCAATTATCACTCACTCAAGCAGACGAAGTGTCCCAATCATCGGTCACTTTATTTTTCTTTTTATATAGGCCTCGGATACATTTTCAATCAATAACAAGGTGGATTTGTATCGAAAAAACGACTTTTTGGTGCCCCAACAATAGTTTATTTATGTTTGAAAAAATTTATAATAAGATATGAACAAGAATGATCAATAATTGGGACATTCACCTTAGCTAGGTTTTGGTGTGAACGTGTAAAGTAGTAATTACAATATTGAGTAAAAAATACATTAGTAAGTTTTGTGTGAGCATATTAGTTGAACGATAGTTGAATGTAACAATTATTCTAGAGTGTGTGACTTTGATGCCTGGAATGCATATGTATATTGATTGATAAATAAAAAATAAAACGTTCATGAATTTTTGTTACACTTTTTTTAATGGATAATTTATTACTTTAGAAGGTAAAGAGGCCCCTTCCGAAATGCCTGAAGATTCAGTTCCCATGTGGAAGAGCTACCTCATGAAAAGTGAGAATGTCACTCTCTAAAGAACATTTTAACCCTCAGACGAATTGAAAATTTTCACAAGCGCATATATACACCTTACGTAACCATTGACCCGAGGAGAAAAGAAGTACGACAATTATTACCGTAAAAGGAGTTTAATCAAGATAAATTGTAAAAAAATATTAATTTTTTAAACAAAGCAATAGTAAAAATTATCCTACAAGAAGTAAAAATTACAGAAACTGGCGTTGGATGCGAACTGTAACACTGTATTTACGGTAAAAATTATTGTGATTCTTTGCTCCGTTAACCTCAAGAAAATCTCCATTAAAGTATCCAATAAAAATCCTAAATTTAACACTACTGACCTATCCCATGAATTCAACCACTAGTCCTAATTTAAACTTATACAACCAAGTACCATAGTTTAAAACGAAACTAGGAATCCCATGGACAATAGAAAAATTCATCCGAGGGTTAAACATAAGCCTCTAGATTGCAGCGTCTTTTTAATGATCTCAACGAAATTTCCCATACTTTTGTGTTCCACAGAATCATGGGTCATGTGCCCAACGCCGCCGATGGACCGGTTGACGCCATTGCCGTTTAATAGCGGCACCGACGAGTACCTGCGACTTCTGAGGGACGCCCAGAGAGACTCGACCCAATCGTCCGCGAGGCACTCCCTTGCTTCCTCGAGGCGCGATACACCAAGGGGCAGGTAAGAAGCTATTTTTTTTTCTACTATTGGTGCTCAATTTGTATTTTTCTAACAGATCAAAGAAGAATGCGATAGTCTTTAACTCAAATAGTCAGAGTTCAGAGGAGTCAAGGTTCGATACGCGTTTTCTTTGATATTTTTGATAAAACAAAGTCTTAGTTAGAAATTTGTTGAAGCTGGATTCAATTTTGATTTAAATTAGTGCACTAGTGACGAATATTTCAGGAAAATAGTAGCAAATGTTGATGAATGCATGAAAAAATTGTTTTGCGGTATTTAGAATTATCCTCCAACAAATGTCTCTAAACTCCTACCTATTTATTGAGCTTATTAAATTTGATAGCACGGGTGTAGTTTCATTATGAAAATCTGTGAAAAAAGTCTTTCAAAGTTTTTCAAAGCTCAGTCATCAAGGGTCATTTGAAGGGCACACAAATATTTTAATGTCTTTAAAAGTCACATAAAAAACTTAAAAAAACTCCAGAGCCACAAATATTCACGTATGAATATAACGAATATAACGACACTCCAGTTCAAGGAATATTTAAGACTTGAAAAATCGTCAAAAACATAGGGACTAAATTAAAATTTGAAGTGTCTAGTGCATCGATTGAAAATTTTGGAAGAATCCGTTTAAATTTATTACCGTATATTGTAAAAATGAGCTAAATACACTGCAAAAGTAATGCAGTACATGCAAAAAAACTTTTGCTGAAAGCTTCTATGGCATGGTTTGTAAACCAAACTTACAACTCCTTGTTATCAACTTACAAGTGAACCGCACAAACAGCGGAAACGGGAATGATAATAAAAACAAAAAAATCGCGCTCACCTATACCGTTCAACCTCACTTATTTCCACGTAACAACAGTCCGACGAGCTACTATTGCTACATTCCGAGCTAAACGGTCGCTCCATGGCTTGTGCGTTTCATGACTTATCTGTAGGTGCGCAAGAGCAAGTAATTCCACGTAAGTATACTAGACCGATACTAATTTAAGAATTTTACATGGATCACGCGATCCAACATGGCTCATTATATTCCTTTGAGAACTACCTGTGACTCAAATCTTTTTTACTTAAATTTTAATTTGTTTCAAAACTACAGCCATAAACTATTTTTGCTCAGTTCATAAATTAGTTCCCGCTTTCTCATAAAGTTCAAAGCATCCTCAGTGAGCTCTTTCTTTCCCTGCTTTGCTTATATTTGTGAACTGCAATAATTGATTTCCTCGCTTGTTCTCTTATTTTCAAAAATCTACAAGTATAGTTTGACCAGCTGTCGTAAAAAGTGTGACTCATTTGCTTGTGTGTATAAATGATACGGGACAAGGGTGGTAACTTTTCAGATATTTTGTGCACTGACAGAAAGTAAAACGCCCAATACTTGGACAAAACTAAAATTCAGACCGATACTTGGACAGTGAAAAATCAGTCGTTGTAGCAAATAAAAAAGAGATATTTTAAAAAACATAATAGATTAGTATTGCTATGATTATTATTGATGATATACTTGAATTTTTTAATAAATTTCAGCAAAATTTCATACAAGCGAATGATTCTAAATTTAACCGTAGGTNATATACTTGAATTTTTTAATAAATTTTAGCAAAATTTAATACAAACGAATGATTCTAAATTTTACCTTAGGCGCCACAAGAGTGCGATGATTTTTCTCCGTTTTCTATGATTTTGATAATCAAAGTTAATCCAATGTATTTGTATACATGCTGTATAGTATTATTTTACAACTTTTACATTGATTAACAATATTTTTAATGTAATCGTGTACGAAAGAAATTTTTATAATTTAAAATTAGCTGTCCAAGTACACCTCACGATTTCGTAGTAGTTGGACAAACGTGGAGCTCTTGTCCAACTTCAGGTTATATTAGGCACAAAACGTCATAGTCAGTACATGGACATACAATCAAAGTTGTTTACCTTTTAACGTAGTTAATCTTTTACGCGAATTTTTTTAAACTAAAGTGTATAAAAAGTGCAGTACTTTGTAGAAAAAACACTGTACTAATCAGTTTTGTCGTTAAGGGGTACACCGCTTTAAGAAAATTTTAACATTTCAAAACATTTAACATTTCGTTTTTTTAACATTTCGAAAAGTTAACCTCTAATTCACTGTTAATACATATAAAGTATGGGTCCTGAAAAGAGGAAAAATGTTTAAAAAAAGAGTAAAAGATTGAAAAAGATATAAAAAAGAGAAGTAAGAAAAATTATAATCTTATTACAAATAAATCTCAAATAACAAAACTAAAAAAATCAATAAAATATGTTTTACACTATCTCACTGATAAAACAATTGAAAAAACTGATTGAGAACCGAGGTAAGAACTTAATTGAGTTGGATAATTCATTTGCGATTATAGAGATGCAGCTCCTGCAAAAGAAAATTTAAATCAAGAAGGAGAAGTGTGATTTCACACATTTTAAAATGTTGATAATCAAAATATACCCTAAAGGATTTATCGTGTATTCAATAAATTATTTTTTGAAAAAAGATTAAAAATTTCATTTACGAATTTCAAATAGTAAATTTGTTATTATTTATCACCTCCGTTAACCTTTTTTCGTTATAAGGTATTTATATAAATATATACTTCAGTTTTACTAAGTACTTGCGCCTTTATCATGATTTATACGACTATAAAATCGTTTAAGTTAGTATTGTCCAAGTACTGCTTTCCAACTTTTCTAAGTATTGCAGCATTGTCCAACTTTTGGTTTTCAAGGTTGTCCAACTACTACGACAGTCGAGAATCATTGTCCAACTACTCCGATAAGTTGACAGGTTTCAAAATGTACGATAACTATTACTTAAGAGCTGTTTAAAAAATTTTTTTGTGTGTTATATAACCCTACAGCATCTTAATTACAAGTTAATATTTGAAAAATATGGAAGTATTGCACATTAATTTTGATATATGAGCGTTAAAATTAGTTTTTAAAAATCTGTCCAAGTATAAGGTGTTTTACCTGATCATTTTTCAAACTGTTAAGTAAAAAAAAATCTGCGTTTTTAAGATGACATTACGTAGTTCGTCTATAACTTAATGGAGTCTTTCAATGTTATAATTACTTTGATTTGTTGAATAATAGTTATGAAGTCTGCACATTTTTACCAGCATAAAAAGTCCCATATTTTTCATTTTCGGATTTTCACCCAAATCCAAAGTAATATTAATGTCAAAGAACTTATTTTTTTCCTTCATTTTTTTTCTTTTATTTGAAAGCATTTATTGGTTGGTTATTTGTTGTTGAAAAAGAATACATCTTACATCATTTTAAATAAAAAAAAGTATCATCATTCAAAAACATAAACAAATTCTGAAAAAAAATATAAATATCAAATTCTGAAATTTATTTGTTTACTTTTTAAAAACCACCATACAAGGCGATTAAAAAGTGAACTATGTGTCATTGATGTTGCAGTCCCAAAAGCCCTCCAAACAGTCCCAACACGGAATTGTCGAACAATGAAGAGGAGCTCAAGGGAATCTACATAAACCAAACTTGTTACAAGGTTAGTTCAACAGATTAATGTTTAATATATATACTTGATTATGGTGCCCTTTAAAAACACATTAGAATAGAAAGATATACGTCGTTCCTTTGTTTATCGCGTGTTAATCATACAAAATTTTTCATTAGTATTGTAATGCAATCAAAAACGTTAAATTTAGTAAATAGATTATTTAGGTTAGTAATCCATGTTTTAGCTCAATTTTGCGTGAAAATTTACAAGTGTTTCCAATCTTTGTTTACGAAACCATAAAGTTTACGTTAAGCTAATGCTTGTCAAGTTTTGGTATTACTGTCCCAAATGTTAGTTTTTTCTATTTTCACATTTATACGAATCGTACAAATTGGGATTTAATTACATTCTGACTGATTTTTGAGGTTAAGCTAATATTAGGAAAGTCAGAGTTTGAGAAAGTCTCATCGGCAAAGTTCAGCAAACTTAGGAATTTTTCATGGAATACCAGATTCTTTACAGCTTTAAAATATGTCTTGAATTTAATAAAGTACACAGGTATTTACTAAGTTTTACAGAGAATTCTGGTGAGGTTGGCTTTATTACAGTTTCCAATTAAAAATATTTATCTGTCAAAACAGCATAAACTGTAATAGTTTGTGAAGGAAAACTTTAATTTAAATCTATTTAATCTATTTCCCGTTTTTCTCCATACTAATTCACTAATTATTATAATAATATCATAATTATTTAAAAACTCTTAGGTAGTGAGGGTAAATGACCCAATCACTGTGGATTAAAATTTTCTACTGAGCTGAATTATTTATTCCTCTGTTTTTCTATGCAAATAAAAGTAGTTTCATTTTATCGTCATCTGTAGCATCTTGTGCGATGAAATCGAACAACGTTTTTCTGTTATGTTATTCATTTTTTTTAAAATAATTTTTTTAGTGTTGATATTATTTGCTTGTATTATTACGGACGGATATGAAATCAGCGCCAATTACTGCGTGGATATCTCCCATACAGTTTTCATTTTGAAGCCCAGACCCACTTGCTGCGCACCAATTTCCTGGTAGAAATTTGCTGGTGAACTCTGGTCAATCAACCAAGCCTGGGCAACTTCTAACCGTCTCGTAGTGGTAAAGCATACATTGGATAAGAATACAGAGATGGTAAAAAGTTGGCAAAGATAGTTTAGCAGATGTTGTCTGCTCAGTAAGTGTTGATACATCGACTAATCTGTTTGTCACACCCTGTATACTTTAAAGACATTACAAAATTTATTTTCCAGTCTGTTTTTCTTATTTTGTATTATTGACGAGTACGCAGTGATTGGTGCCTGCGTAGTAATTGGGTCATTTACTCCTCGTGTCGGTCCCTTGCTAGTCAAGGGTGTAAGTTTGCTTAAAAATAAGTATCAAGTTACGTTTAAACTAGAAAACTTTAAATATTTGCCAAAAGTACAGTAAAACTATCGAGAACTCATATAATTATGATACGTATAAAATTAGTACTCTTGACATTTGAGTTTAAAAAAAATTGCACGCTCATAGCTAACATGTGTAAGTTGTATTACTAGTATATTAACGTAAATTTAGAATAGTAATTAATTCAACTTCTGTAGCAAAAAATAAACAATCTAATTCTGTCACAAGCAATAGATGTAATGCAACTTTCGCAAGCACACTATCAACCTGCTACCGAAGCTGACAAGTTGTTTCTATACATAATAAATAGGACAATCATGTGTGCGATTAGTCAGACTAAGTTATGACTATGCTGATAAACGTGCATTCATTAAAAACCCACCCACTCGCCAGCCGTAGGTCGTAAGCTGATGCGACTATTAGAAAGTAAATCCTTCAATTGCATTAGTACACCCATTTATTTGTAAATGGATTATGATCCCCTTTTGCAGTGAAGATGATGATGATGACAGATTGATACGGTGATAGAAACAACGACGCGTCAATCTGATGCCCGTCACAACAGCTGATTTTTATTTGCATTTTTTTTCTTATGCAAATATACATCCAAACTGTCATGTGGGTGATAACAAAAAAATTAATGGACTTCCAGTCATTTTGTTCGAGTATTATTGCTCAAACAGCGGAAAAAATGCGACAGTGACATAATGACGAAGTAAAAAAAAAGTTAACCGTCAAAGATCGAAGCACATTTCACGTTTAGCAGAAGAACAATATTTATATAGGCGTCATCTAGGGACAGGAAAGGGGTACTACGTAGTAAATATCATCGAACTAGGTAATGAAGTATAATTAATGATTAAAACAAACTTAGGTGAAGTTCAATCATGATTATAGTCATAACTTGTTCAAGGATATTAAGGGTTACTAATACATTTCTTAAAGAGATCTTCTTCGTTGCTGGGATCAAACGTGAGTCGGTAACCAAAACAACGCGTTGTCCGATCGTAAGAAAAAAAAATTTTTCATTTGGATTTTTTTGTAATACTTGAAATTTACTAGACCAACATAAGCACATTACTTTAGAACTCGATTTATTACGTGAAATTGTACCCAACTACGCAAGAGGTGGGTAAAAAAGCCGAAAAAAGCGATAGCAAAGCATTATTAATCAGATCTACATATGTATGCGTGAAAAATGAAACAACAAATCCGCTGCGCTCGTCTTTGTGTCGTTGGACGATGAGAGAAGCTTATTTAGTTCCTCAACCGGAACAGAACGACTCTTGTTTCGTCAGCCGCCTAAGTTGCGTTGTCCGTGCTTTTATAGATTAAAAGATTAATGCCTCGATTAATGCGACAGTTTGTGTGTCGTGTGATATTTAAATGGACAATAGCTTACTCATAAAAAAAAAAAAAAAAACGTTTAAGCATAAAGTAAAAAATTTGATGCTGTAATCAAACTGAAAATACATTTTGCAATTACATGATTAAGTGTATAATTATAAATAAGTGTAATTCTATATATACAGCGTGGAATTACTGGACTTAGGACTTGGCTCGGGAATTAGCGGTATCAATGTTGCAGGTAGAACATATTGTCATCCACGATATACACTTACGCGTTACCATAGTCATTTGATTTTCAATAGCCTTATTTACCACGCAATACACCTTTATTTTGCAGAAGCTCTTTGACTCGAAATAATCTTGTAATATTTAACGATTCAAGGTCTCAGCTGCAATACGTCAAAGAATCATTTAGTCACTTGTAGTTCATTACATATTGATGCCGACTAATGATCCAAAATTTCTAAACACAAACAATACTTTCCGATACTTTAATTGTAACAATTTTTTTTTTTTTTATTTAACTGGCTTTTCCGTCAGTTGGTTACGGGTTGCATGGAATATTGCGGTAGGTTTTTAAATTGAAATAATACACAAAAAATGTATACCCATTCTGCGAAAAAATATCTTTTGCTCTTTGTACTTTGTATTGTAAAAACACGTTTCATTAATTTGTGAACTGATACAATCAGGTCTCGAACGGTGCATGTTGTCAATAAATCGTAGCTCTTTCTTTTCTACTTTACAGTTCACGAGCATAAGTGTATGTTCTGATAATTTTAATGCAGACGTCTTATACTTGTAGATCCCATTTTAAAACAGAGTCCAGACTTGCAGGCATCGATTCAGCTTGTAGGAAGGGATGTAGTACTCGAAAACCGGTTTCCTATAGAATCGCGCGTTATACTTTCGCAAAAGCACCGCATCTTTAGCACATCTGTATACAGGTATCGAGTGACGCCTCGAACCACGTAACGACAACAACTGGTTTTACAAGAGCCCACCTACGGTACCCACGCACACGCGTGAGCTCTTTTTCCATACAAGGTACAGCCTTCTCGAGATCGCTGACTCCGTGCGAGTTTCTGTACGCTTGAAAGACAGTAAGTGCGCCACGGACACGTGACACCAATAAAACACATCTCGAGTTTTTGCTTCGTCTGCCATTATTGTCACATTTATATTTATTATTGTTATTGCTATGGTTTTACCGTGGGAGATATTGGTAGGACGGTATTTTTCTTGCACCATGTATACTCGGTTATCAAGCCTGTTTTCTCTTCCCACGCGACATGTAATATGTGCACATGAGGTTGCGATTCGATTATTGGAAAGTGGCTTGATGATCTCGAAGCGGTCAAAGTCATCGGGATGAGGAGCTTCGAAGTTTCTCTTGCTTTCAACTCCACATATACCTGATGATTCATATCAATTTTTTTAAACACCACGTCTTGATAACATCAAGTAGTCGAATATGTTTGGAAACATCCGAGGAGTCAAAATTTTCATGGGTTTTCGGTTGAAAACGTTTGAAAAACTGATTAAATTACGATGTGAATTCCAGGTTACCCAAGCTCAGAGCAAAGTTACAATTTTATCTGATTCAAAAGATTAGAAAGTTCTCCATCGTGCTTCCTGCGGCCTTGATATGTACCCTAACATATTATAATATACATATTATGTACACAGCCCTCTACGTGAATTCGTGTGTATTGTGTGATTCGAAACTATCGCGTTACGTCAGATTTGAAAGTCTCCTTACTGGGTTACTTTTGGTCAAAATGTATAGAAGAACATAAAGACTACATGATAGAGACCAGCTCAGTTTTTTTGAAGCAATCGTCATTTTCACATTTTTGTACAGAATATAGTACATAAAAAATCTTAAGATGTTGGATGGAACTTACACAATCAGAATATTATGGAGGTTCGGTCGTTTTTTGAGAAGATGTATTCACTCGCTGAAAAAAATTAATGTTGTACTTTTACATGCTTGAAGTACGCATGAATTTTTTCAATATTTCTTACCAGCCGAATATCCAGAAAAAAATTTCCAAAATCGCATTATCTAACATTGCTCTTATGGGCAAGAGCGATTATTCAGCCTTTGTTGCACAAATTTCGAGGCAAGAGATGTATTCATGATGAGCAAGAAGTTTGAATGGATAACAACTCACTTCAATACGTTGTCTTATGAGAGCCCCCGCATACCTGCTCACCATCCTCTGGAAAAACGACCTGTTGATAGTTGTATGGCATAAGAAAGGG